CAATCAAATTTATATATGTTACACACGTAGGGCTAATCTTGTTGCACTGTTCAGAGGAGTCTCAACAATCACCCCAAAGTACCGTTTTCTGTGAGTTTTGGGCCATTGTTTTCACCGCCACGGGTTGCCAGGCGGTGAAAATGCCCAGATGTCCGCCCCCGAGGATATAACGGTGGAAGCATCAGGAAGGATTACTATAGACCATCACCAATATGATGGAAATTCACGTCCTTCTCATTATTAGGGAAACCAACAATTTTCTAATATACTCGACTCACAAAAATGCGTTTCACAGAATTTCCATTGGTATAATACCGGTTAACAAGTTCGAACCATTTAACAGAAAACTGAAGAAATTGATATAAATAAATACATCCTTTTTTTTACTGATTCAAATCAGATGTCTAGTGTTGTCATGCCATACCAGTACTTAACATAACAATCAATATTTCTAAACTGATGTTTCTACTAGCAGCAAGTTTCTGAACAAATAGTCAAATGGTTACTTACGCCAAGTTCTGTAACGTTTGGTACATACTGTTCGTGTTCCCCGAGCAACACTTCCACAATAGGATGGCGGCCATCTTGTATATGAATCTGACCACCGCCCTCACCTACAATAACTGGTCTGAGAAAAGATAAATGTAGACAATTAATTAAAGCATTATGGTCATTGCCCAGCGTAATTTCGGTAAACAAGCAATGTATTTTATACAAGTTGTATATGTCACATGGGAACCGCATCAAACACAACACCTGCAACACTTTAAGTTGAAATAACAATTATGAAACAAGCAGGAATTTCATAAGTATATATTTTATAGATAATGTGTCACACATGTTTATCCGAGAATATTGGGTATTTGTAGAATATCTCAGAAACACAAACAACACTGCATACCATTTGCACTGTAATCTTTACTTCCATTGTAACCTAGTACTACTGATTCAAGAACAGTAAAGTTCAAAAACTTTTTAATAACCCTAACTATCTTTTGTTGAAAACATTGGAGGTAAGTATAACAATGAGGTAAGTATAACAATAATTTTAAGTCATTTTAAGGTCACTGAGACTACACTCATAACAGGTTTGATACAGTAATGTTGATCCAGAGAAGCAGGTAGGATAAAGATGAAC